GTAGGGATATGAAAATGTAGAGTCTGGTATGAAAATGTAGGGAAAATATTTCAAAACGCTTCAGCAGATAATAAATCTTATTGTATTGTAGATCTTAGCTAATCTATATAAAATTTATTATATTTTTTTACTTCAGTCAGATGTTTGTTTCCTACACTAGTGACATAACCACGTTTTGCTGAGATGACTTCCTAAGTATCTTTTTGCAATAGGATCTTAGTGATACAGACTAGAGTAATAAGATTTGATGTACTAGAATAAAGGAGCCTTTGTGTTTCTAGTCCATAAATAATTTTTTTGCAAAAAATGATGTTTATTCTGTATACCCCGAATATACCGTTAACTATATATGTATATATGAGTGTGTATAACTTACGTATATCTATAAGACTATCATCAGAGAGATTGGAAATTTCAAAATTTGGTTATACCGAGGTATCAAGCTGCAAAATAAAAAACAAACATACTGTATACATAATACATATGTATGTATCAATCTTATTCCTCCCTCTTTTCCTCAAGTCCACGGGAAAACACGTTATAATATAACCAAAAAAAATATTTATTATCAGAATTACTTGAAACTGGGTATTAATGCTCTTCAATAAAATTAAATAAATATGTGATTTAACATTTTTCGAAATTCATCCATAAGGGGATAAGATAGGGGGATAGTAAAAATAGGGTTTGTATGAAACCTACCTTTTTAGAGTTTTTGTAGATTTAGCGCGAGCGAAGCCGTGGGTTCTGCTAGTCTTATATGCATAAAGGAGTTGTGCCACAATAGTACCATAATAGTTAAATTCAAAAACTTTAATATTTGCTGTTTAAAAGCCGAAAAAATTAACAAGTGATTTAAAAAACCTTAAACGTTCTGTTGTTTATACGAGTGAACTTGCACTCTTCAAAATATTTATACTGTGGAATTTTAATTTTAAATGAAGTAGGTAGCTCTACAAAAATGTTAAATTATGAATTCAGATTCAGGAGCCATTGTAAAATTCTTGAGAGTGAAATAGATGGGAAATGCAATGTTATTATCATTCCAGGTCAATTTGAACTTCTATATTAGAATAAATATGAGTTTTTTTTAAATACCATCTTGAATAACACAAGTTTTTGGTTTTATTCAACCGATTTGAATGTAGTTTACAAATCATAATTATGTGATTTTATTATTGTAAACTTAAATAAGATATGATTAGTATTTAGCCACTGCCATGTTTATCAAATTTGACTACAATTTATGGCATTACGTCAAACAAAACAATCAAAGGACACTGTTGATGAACATGCAAAAAAAACATACATATAGGCGAATATAAAACCTTCTCTTTTTTGGAAATTGGTTAAAATAGTATCCGATGATCCTCTAAGCATGCAACTTGTACAATAATTAGTAGCTTCTTTTAAGATTTAAGCATAACATTTACTAGACTCGCAAATATTTTTAAGAGTAGCTTAACGACTTTTGCAATATTTTTTCATTTACCATGTTTACTTTGGTAAATAAAACAATAATAAAACAAGTCAGCTCTTTCAGCGCTCGATGTATGGACAGCATTTTGTAGTTTCTAATAGATTTATGTAATGCGCAAGCAGCTGAAAGCGCTAAATGATTCTTTATCACTACTACGGTTTTGTATTTTGATAGCCGCTTTCTTATTCTACTTTGCATATGCTTCGCTTGAGTTTGATTAGGAAAAGAAAGTGGGTTCCGTAGCATCAAACTTTTTTGTAATATGTTTTTCATAACGTAATTTGGAAGATCAAAAGTAAAGTGAATTTTTTTTAATTAACAACCATAATTTCTCTTGTATAACTAATTATTAGGCTTGAATTTCGGTACTTTTTCTTCTTAAATGATTTCTTGTAACATACCATTTTGTAGTTATTTAAACGTATATTTACCCTATTATTATATAAAAATCTCGTGTCACTGTGTTTGTGGTAGCACCCTTACGAAACGGCTCGACTGATTGTGATGTTTTTTTTGTATATTTGGTAGGTATGAGAATAGGTCGTAAAGTATTTTTCACCTTCCTACCCCCACCTCACATTTTTTAGTAATTAGGAGCGAGCCCGAACGGAGCGAGGGTGAGTCGCTAGTATTATTATATTATATCGACAGCCAGAAAAAATAATACCAAATTGCTATGATCCAGATAGACCTTTCTCTCTTTTTCAATTTACATTATTGTCTTCACATACACTTGTCAGAAACCCTCATATTGCTGACCGTATTTAAAAGTATACCTAACAAATATTTAACTTTCAAAGGTTCTTCAAGTTCTTTACTTCACATTCCACTTACCCTTCCATTGTATACTACGTAAAAAGAAAGTATGTTACTATTGGCATTCTCTTTTAAATCGCTCAAAAATATAATATACCTACTAGCGGCTCACCCTCGCTTCACTGGGTTCGCCTTTAGAATAATAAAAATTAATCTATCCCACGGGAACCCCAAATTTTTACGAGGTAAAAAATAGCCTATGTGTTATTCTGATGTATGAGCTATATTATTGTAAAGTTTCATTAAAATCCATTCTGTAGTTTTTGCGTGAAAGTACTCTTTCACGCAAATACATCCTCACAAAATTTCACATTTGTAATAATGGTCCGATAATACTACTCATTTAGACTATTAAAATTATCCTTACACTTAATATTCTAGATTCGCTGAATTTGAAAGAAGCTTTAAAAAAACTTTATTTAAAGGCAGTTTTGAAATCTTTGAAGATTGAAAAAAAATGTAGGTTCAGTCTAGATTTTCAGATCTTTTTTCTCTTCATATCTTCTGAGTTCTGACTTCTTTCTCTCAAAACAATCCCGTACTGACAATTTAAAATTAAACTGTGTCGGCTTTAGGCTCTGAGCGTTTGTCACAGATGTTGCAAATGAGTAGGTACTTTATTTGCATTTACGTTTGTGCGTCGCCATATTAGCTATCTACGTTCATACCTTGACTATGCCCCTTTCGTTTCTGGTCATTTTTACTACAATTTATTATTTAACTGTCGGTTACTAATATCCTACCGAAAATATCTTATTACTAAATACCGAAAATATCTTAATACTCTAATATATAAATACCGAAAATATCTTAATACTCTAATATATATGTACATATTACATATATAGATGACATCATTCATTCACAACTTTTGTAACTTAAAGTATACTTCCCAGGTGGTCGCATTTAAATTTTATCGAAATCTGACAAGGGGGTTTAAAAAAATCAACAATAAATTATTTTTAAATCTTAGGCTTAAGGCTTAATCCAATATGTTATTAAAAAACTTACTTCTTACAAATTACCTGCTTATTACGTCTACACTAAAAATGGAAAAATAAAAACTTAAATAAAACCGACTTTCAATCATAATCATATATTTTGGAAGTCGGTGTGCTTTAATTTGTATCGGCTGGCATCGACTGAAAATATCTGAGTAGGTATCTATTCTATACAAACCCAACCCGCCCCCCCCGTTTAGTTATTTTTTACTTTTTAGTGCCTGGAAGTTGTTTTTTTTTCTTTAAAATGTACTTCTACTATTTATTAGGCAAAGTCACAGTCGGATACTACTGGTATGTTATTGTAACAAAATTGTATACAAGCAAGGGAGCTTGGAAACTACAGAGAGCTGTATTTGAGTGGCTTTACGGCTATTTACCTACAATTAGGAGGAAAACAATGTATCCTACGTAGAAAATACACAGTAATAAACTGTGTATTGTGTCTAGTAATATACTGAGGGAAATGGATAGATCAGTTAGACGACTCGAGGCGTGAGAAAAATATAGAATATTACAAAATTTACTATTGCCATTTTCGGGACTATAAGTTATATTCTCATACTTTTATAATACCGCTCTTATTCGGCACGGATCTAAGAAATCTATATGAAAAATGTTTGTCCCATCGAGGAATTGAACTAAATTACAACTTGGTCTCTCTTTTTCCAAAAGTAAATTCATTCTCATTTAAAGCTAGTCTCTTTCTATTCATCGTTTCACCCGGTTGGGTCCGTTAGTTTATAACTTTCTTACGTAATTGAACATTAATTGAGATCTAGAACTTTCTAAAGGTGCAGTTATATCATCATTTATTATTTTAGTTAACTTAGTCCTATTAGTTAGTTGAAAATTAAACTTGAGCTCTGTTCATTATGTATCATAATGGGTAAATAAATATGTTGGGACATTAACACACAGCACTAGTTCTATAATATCTCCTGCGCAGTCGGCTAGTCTCAATGAGATTGGCCGCCGTGGCCGGAATCGGTCAGGAGAACATCATACACTATACAGACATATTATATAACTTTAAATACATACATATAATAAATATTAACACCCATGACTGAAGTACACACATTCGTGTTCATAACATAAATGAATGCCCACAGCGGGACTCGACCCTGCGACTGCTGGCAAAGCAAGTAGGGCCAAACTGATCCAAACGTGTTGTCATATACTTAGGTGATTCTTGATTGTGTATTGGGTTACATTATAACAGTACCATAAAACGAGTTGGTGTCAATTCAGTTAACTTACATGAAGACTATCGTATATCAACAATATAAACTGTAGAAACATAATATTTCACTAAAATATAACAGCTGACGTTGTTTCAGACAATTTGTTCTAACATTTTGTAATTTGAATTGTAAATTTTGTTAAGAAATTATAATATCGTTTTCAATACTCGATAAACGAGTTATTTTCCCTGAGAAAATATCATGTGAATCGATTCAGTTAATTCTATAAGGCAAAAGCATAGATACATCAACAGAAAAGCAAAAAAAAAAATTAAGCTAGTATGTAAAAAAGTTAAAATTACCATAAATTGAGGAATATATATTAGGAAAATAATTTTTTAATTCCTCGTTTTTTATATGTTAAAGTTTATACATATGCATTAAATAAAAAATAAAATATTTTATGTACTAATTTTTTTATCCCATGATCTGACCAATTTCATTGTTATCACATACCCCCGGTTAGATCTGAATTGCAGAAGTCGGGATTTGAGTCCCCGTCGCGGCAAAAATTTGGGGCCTCCATGCGTGCTATGCATATAACGAATTGTTAATAATAATTATATAAAGCAATACATCCTTATTACGTTTAGTACACTAATAATTTAATATGGAAGCGGTTTCTTATCTATACATATCCTATATACCTACTCGTATAATATTCGTATTTTATCTGTGTCGCTCTGAATTAGGCTTGTCAAATAGACGTGAACATAGTGATGTACTTTGAGAATATAAACTTTGATTTTAATATTGATCACTGCGCAGCCACTTGCAGCGTACTTCAGAGCGGTACACAAAAAGTATACCTACTATACAATATATAAACGTAGGTTTGATGGAATTCAATGTCTTTTGAGAAAAATTGTGCTAAGGAGATGTCAGAGATACCTCTGTCATATTAGCTAAATTCAGAGATTTGAACTTTTTTGTTTGTATGGCGGTTTGAAGTAACTTTTTATGAACAATTTAACAGATTCTAATAGCAATTTTTATTATAGGTTCATGTAATAATTGGAGTTTAAAGAACAGTTAAGTTTTATGTCAAACGGCTTAGTAAATTAAGAGTTACCTATGTTGAGATTTCCATACTATGAGCTATTAATTATTGCGTTACATGGTATTTGGTTTAGAACGATAAAGTGATTTTCAAATCTACTTTTCCACTGTCATTCGAATGGGAACTTTTTTAAGAACCTTGTATTTCAAGATCAAGGTTAAAACGAGTATGTTAAGTTTAGCATTTAGTGGTAAGTTAGTAAAGAATTTTAAATTTTAACTCAAAACCTTCATTTAAATTGTAAACGTTTTAATATATACGTTTAGTTGAATTTTCCAAACAACAAAAACCATTAGACCATAATATTAGTTGTCCAAAACATACAAAACCCGCACAAATCATGACAAATATTGCACAAAAATTATACCGACACCTGCTAAGAACAACATTGTAACTTGGTGTTAAATTAATTTAAACACCGAAATGATGAATTTCCCATTAATTTAAAGTTAAATTTATTTTGGTGCAATAAGAGTTACATTTTTATTCCAATGTACAATGTAACATAAATATGGCTGTATGCCAGCATTGAATTTACAATGGCTGGTTCGGAATTTAGTTCGGTTCTTTCCAGCTTTCCTTCTAGCGTTTTAATTATAATATTACTAAATTTGTTTTTTTTTTAATAAAATTTCCAAACAAATTTTTAATGCGAGTTAAATTTTCAAAACAAGTTATTAAGCTTTCACGGTCTTTGACGTTTTTATTTAAAAAAAAACAAGGTAAATTGATATCAATCGAAATACTTATTGAAAAAACATGTTAATCTATACATATAATTAAATTCTGAATCGGATCTGTGCATAAATATTTTTTGGAAAATCTTATTGAAACAGTAATTGTTATATATCGATTCAGAGGCCGAATCTATAGTTTTTAGAATTTTGTCGACCTGTCTATCTGGGAACGCATCACGAGAAAACCACTGGACATATTTTGATGAAATTTGATATTTTGATGATAGCTGGTTATCTGGATCAACATATAGGATACTTCTTACTGTGGGAAAATATCTCATCTCTGAGAAATCTATACTAATCGTTAAAATTTAACTAGGGACAAGCCCGAGCGGAACAAGGGTGAGTCGCTAGTATAAGAAAATATAATCATGGAATGAAACGTTTTATTCTCTCTTTAAGGTTTATGTGATTACATGTTGACACTTCATCGACGAAAAATTCATTTTATTGGCACAGGAAATAATATTCTGTTTCATCTAAAATCCATCAATAAGTTTCTTTGATATCAAGAAAAAAACAATTTATCTATTTTATCAAAAGGAAATAGAAAGATATTATTTAAATTACTTGTATCGGTAAATAACTCTGGTTAATCTTTAGAAGCCACAATTTTCGATTAAGCTCTTTCTATCATAAGGGCTTAGACAAGATAGCATTATATTATTTCTCTGACATTTCGGATAGTTTTCTATTCTATATCCATCGGGTGATTAGTTTTCTATATCGCTTATAGAAAACTAAGCACGGAGAAGCACAATTTGCTCACTGATGTTTCTGTACAAATATAATTATTGAAAGGTAAATTGGGTCTAAGTACGTCCTAACTTAATTTTGCAGAAGAAAAAATAAGTGTTTCGACCGCCCGACGAATAATAGAGTGATTTTATAAGGTAGTTATATTTTCTATTCATTTACAGAACCATACATATTTGGAATAAAATATTTGGAAACAACATTAATGTTGTATCAAAATCTTAACTGTTAAGTTATTGGTTAAATAACTGAATAATTTTTTGAAACAAATTCCTTTGGCGAAATCTTACGGGATGGCATTTATGGCTACGATATAATAAGTAATTATCGTAAATAAGTTTTATAGCATCAATATTATCTTATTACGATCCAATAAAGATTTTATTAATTGTTTACTTATTTGTATAAAAGCAGCTGGTTTTTGTATGACATTTGTTTCAAATTTAAATAAAAGCTGACTTTGTTACATGTTATTCGCGTGTTATTTTTTTTACGTTTTAGAAAAACTTGAATAACATAATATCTAATAGTTACATTACATACTCATAAACCTCCTTTACGTTACTCTTGGGTACATCAAACATAAACAGATCACTAACATAACAAGACCGCGATAAACAGTCATAGAAAGCATATAACACAAACATTTGTTCTAAGCGGGATTCGAATCGGCGACCTTTACGCGAGTTAAACTCGCATAAAATACATAATATACGAAATACCTATGAATGGTAAATATTATTCCTCACTGGGTGGTCATTTCCCCTTAACAACTATTAACATAATATATATTTTATATACCATCTAATTAATTATTATACTTCCATAAACAAAAGTTATCAAGGTATTATTAAAACGTATTAAAATTCCAAACTACACGCTCCATTTCAACAAAGCTGAACTATTCTCATCAATACTGTGGTATTGCGGCGTTCGTATTAATCACTCTAAGTTTATACCTATGTCACATGCGGCTTGTGTCGTTGTAAAATATATTACACGTCCGTGCAAAATTAGAAATCTACTTTAAAATCTTATTTAATATTAAACAGAAACCCTTTTTAAATTGTTTCTTTTTCAAATTAATTATCCTTTTTTTTTATTTTGTATTGAGATCGATGCCACGTTCCTAAATCCCATAGCCATTACAAGGTATTTTTTAATTCATGTTAACTAACTTTAAACGATATATTTACCAAAAAAAATTGATTTTCGATATTTCCGTATTATTGGTAAGAAAAGTACCCATAATCATAAAAATATGTAAATATCTCATCTCGCATCTTAGAATAAAAGCTCTACAGTTATTAGATACGTATTCAATACATAAAACAATAAATATATACATGCGTATACTCACTCAGCATTAGTTTCAGGTGTTGGAAGATCGCCGATGGTAGTCAGCGTTAGCGTGGACCAGTAAAGGGAACCTAAGTACTTGCGAGTTAACGTCGCGTATTCTCCTGGACGATGTGGGTAAGCCCAGTCGCCCTGCAATGAAATATTTATTGTTATTTTCTTTTATTTTACTAAGTTTTGCCTGGCTTTTTTCAATTCTACGATATTTTAAAATGCTTTCAATTCTCATATGCTTTTAAATAAAAGGATTTATGTAGAAATGCAAAATTTATTCTTTTTTAGGGTTCCATGCTTCAAAAGAAAAAAATAACTCTTATAGGACCTTTGTTGACGTCCGTCTGCGTGTCTATCTGCCTGTCTGTCGAGACTCTTTTTCTCAGGAACGCGTGGAGGTATCATGTTGAAATTATTGTCAAATACTGTACAAAATACACTTTACATAATACAAGTCTACAATCCCTTGGAGTTGTGAAAACTTTTTATTTGTAAGCCAACGCAATTTAGAGATACGTCCGTTTATGCCGCATATTTTAACAGTCGCAAGGAAATCAAAACCTGTAAGGTACTTCCTGTTGACCTAGAATCATGAATTTTGCCAAGAAGCAATGGCTTATAACATAAGTAAAATGAAAAATCCAAAAATTGTAATTTGTAGCTGCATCACAAAAAATTGTGATAATAAACTTATTTTAATGTCAGATATTGGTGTAAATCTAAGAAAGTATTATTTTAATGTTTTATGCTACGGACCCTTCGGCGCGTGTTTCAGACTCGTACTTGTCCCATTTTTTTTCTATAAGTAGTAGTATTTCAAGTTTTGAAGATATGCATAATTTCCTCGTAATCAGACATTAATCCCTCCACGACCGCGGACACGCCGGCGTGTCAGTGAACAATAGATTTCTTCTTTCTTAGAAATTATATAATAATAGATAGATACGTGATTTTTTCCAAAACCGACAGGGCAGGGCAATGTTTACTAGATTTTCCGCTATGTTGGCTAAAATAACAGAATGCTTTACATTATTCGTATAATTTATACTTGATTATCGTTTGTTTATGTATTTATGAATCGAAATTGGGATAACGTATTTAATTTTCGTGTTTAGATATTCACAGTCCAATGAATTTTATGGATATGGATATGAATGTATTTTTAACAAAAATTTTGGGCATAAAATATAATATCTAAAAGAAAAAACAGTTCAGTACCTTTTTCTAATGTTTGTAAATATTTTTTTTTTCGTTTAGTAGCTTATATTGACGAGTTTTGTTATTAATAAAATTTTCTTGGATACAATTAGTTATTTACCCGACTGCGGTGAAGCCCAAAGGTGAGTTATGTGTTTACCTGTATATATGTACGTCCGATCCTATGTTACCTTGTAATTACTAAACTTTATATGTTTTAAAATAGCTACGTGTGTATATGGCTCCGACTGTATAATATTATGTTAGTATATTCCTTCGTCAACTTGTTCTTTTCTTTTTAGTTCGCTTTTTACGAAGAAGAACGGTAGTTTTTGAATTTATTGCTTTCAAACAGACAGGCAGACGCGGTGGGGGACTTTCTTTTATAATATGTAGTGATATTTGAAATTTTTCACTTTTATATTCTGTTACATTATAATTAATTATACTTAGATAATTTTTTAACTGCAATTTAGGTTAAAGTTAAGTTTTTAGCATTTTGTTTTGTCTTTTACGTTAAAGTAACGACATGATTCTGCGACTACATTCTATTAACCCTATCGTAATGCAATCAGTTAGACGTTTTCTTCATGAAATTTCCTGCTAACAATCTTATTACTGTGAACAATTTCCTATGCATATTTTAGTCCTGAGTACATGACAGTGTTTTTATAGAAAAAAGGGGCAAACGAGCAAACGATCCACCTGATGGTAAGTGGCTATCGCCGCTCATAGACATCTGCAACACACGAGGAGTTGCGAATGCGTTGCCAACCTTTAAGGGACCTGAAGACACGGCTCTTGAAGACCCCTATATTATAGCGCTCAGGGAAAACCTCAGGAGGATATAGAGACTCGATTCTGAGTGATGATACTTCCTACAACTTCAGAGGTCGTGAATTTAATTCCGGTGTATTATCGATGCTTAGTACTGCTGATTGTGAAAATGTTTTGCTTTTATAATCTAAGAAAGCGTTGGTTTTTGAAACGTTCGTTTCTTTAATTTAATTCATTATCTTATAAATTTGCCTATATACTATTCTATTGAACTAAACCATAGCGCGATTAAAATTAAAAAAGTATTATTAATAAAATAATATTTATTCAGTTCTTAAATATTTATTTGTTATTAACTTAATTATCTAAGATCATCCAGTGTTTTTATCATTATTTATTTTATAAATAATACATATACTTTATCGTAAAATTTTCAATTGAACTCTATCAACTAGATATTTTATAATATAAATTATAATGAGTGTATAGCAAACGTCTACCAAAAAGCGTCCGTAGACCCATCATTTTATATTTTTATTTATATAATGTTCATACCTTTAACGTGAAAGAAATTAAAATAAAATTTGTTATATTATTACCTGGAAACCTTCAAACTCAGAGAGTAAGAAGTAGAAGCACCCAAACCAATGTGCAAGGATGAGTAAGATATGAATCAAGTTGATCACTCTCCAAAAATTAGGATAAACTGTTCTTGACTCCACCATGTAGTAACAGCTTACTGCCCTGTACACCTGTAAATAAATATATTAAATTCTTCATCAAAATTCATAAAGTTTTTTATAAGCCTAAGACCGAATTTCAGTTATGCTCTCCAACTTCACTGAAACTAGCTATCAGAGCTTGAGATATTAAATTACATAAAAGTGCACTCTGTAATCCTTTCATTCTCAAAGTCTGAAACGACCGGTGAGAGATCAGGTTTCAATCCCAGTCTGACACAACCGGTGAGAGGCAGGCAGTACTTTACGAACTCTCCGCACAGAAAAAAATCTGTCGGTATTCTTGGCCCGGTTCGGGACTCAAACCTAGCACCTTAGGATCTGCTAGACAGTAGATCATAAAGTCAGAATATAAATAATAACTTATAATAATTGAATTATAGCGAGGTTTTAGTTTAAAATTAAATTTAATTAGGAGCGTCAAGTTCGTATGAGGCATATAACATTAACATTGTAGTAAATAAAGCCTTCATAAAAATATGTACATAGTTATAATAAAATAAATATGGAATCATAGTGATTACATTAAATATATTAGACCAGACGGAAACCTTTGAAAATGGTAAAAAGTGAAAAAATAACAGTAGGATGAAACCCATTGGAAAGGGAGGAGAATTTAACAAAAATGAAAGGAAAAATAATTTACGGACGATCTGAGGTCCGGAAGTGGAAGAAGCTGAGTTTTTAAGGGTAAAAAACGGTTTATCTCGATTCCCGGCAAAACTACAATTCCTATGGAAAAAGTTAAATGGTAAAGTTATATTTATATTTTTAGTTATATTAATAAAAGGATTTACAACTTTTGTATTTACAATTTTTTCAAATAACCAAGTTTTTGGTTTTTTATTTTTATCTTTTACAAAAAAATAAAGTGAAAACCTTTTTATGTCCCAAATACACTATAATTTTTTTTATTTAAAATATTCATTTTTTTCACCTTATTTTGACTTAATCGAAAAGCACCCTAATTTTCAATCAGTAAATATTTTTCCTTTCATTTTTGTTATATTTTCTTCCTTTTCCAATGGGTTTCATCCTACTATTATTTTTTTGGTTTCAAAAATTATCGTTTCTGTTTTATATAGAGCTTAACCAAATATTCCCATATATTTTTCATGATCGAGAGACACACTTTTGACAACTTGTGTTTCACTAAAGCAATTTACTGCAGCATAGGAGTAATGAATTAACAACATTTTTTGTACAAAGATGGGCTGAAAAGTAAGGTAGTCTATGTATTTATCATTTATAAAGAATAGTGTACGGTAAGAGCGAAGCCTTTTGCTTGCCATTTGTATCTTTTTATACTAATATTATAAATGCGAAAGTATATTTGATGATGTATCCTTTTTTCAAGCAAAAACGGTGTAACGAACGGATGAGATTTGCTGCAAAGTTCTACAATATATCCTTTAGATATGATTCTGTTATAAAAACTTACATAAGGTCTGATCAAAATGTGAAACAACGTTGTCTTATTATATCACTAGCTCTTTCTTGCGTTTGCTTACGTATTTTCTACAATCGTAGTTTCGAATAGTAGTGTGATTTAACGTAGCCGTTCTAAATAAATAGACTATCAAGTGTAAAAAACAATCCAACTGGGAGTCTAGAGATAAGCGCGTTCAAAAAAACAACGACATAAATCACTTAGTTACTTAATATTAGTTTAGGCAACTTAAAATAAAAAAAAAAGATAAATATAATAATATGAGGAAGAAAAACATTAAGGCTCAAAATTAGCCTTAAGTCAATAAAATATAGCACAATTTTATGAAAATGAGCAGACGCGAGGGACTGGAACGGATGGAGAGATAAAACAAGTCTAAATTGAACTAGGCGTGGATAATGATGATATAATGGTAATGTGTCAACACAAGTGGTTAGACGTAAGTTATACTAATGGTATATAGGAGGGTTCTTGTATTTCTTACAACTGAAATTATTTTCTAACCGATTCTAAAAAAGAGTAGCTAATATATTTGTTTGAATAACGTAATTTACATGTATGTCAATCAAATTATTGGAAAGGGTTAAACCTTGACTTGGCTAGCTTAATTTTTTTTAAGGTAGGTCCTGAGATAAATAGGATCTTAATAAAATTTTGGAGGCGGTAATGCGGTCTTTCTCTTTCGGCGAAAAGGAGTAACAAACATATGTACACAGTAAACACATACATATATAAACTTTCGCATTTGTAATAGTAATTCCATAATAATTCTTTGTCTTCTACTTCAGAGCTGTCGATGTGATATCAAACTCACACGTCACTGATTATTTTTAATTAAGTACTAGCTTTTGCCCTCGTAAATGGATAACGCAAAAATATTTTTCTCATGGTATTAAACCATAAATTTTGTGGATGTGTGGCAATTTTGTGACGCGCTATATCAAAATGGATAGCATATAAACCTTGCGTATATCTTCCAAGGATTAGATGAAGAAGTTCCATAGATTAACAGTTTTACACAAACAAACATTTGCATTTTTATTTCTATAGAATGCATTTATTATGAAATGTAAATGAGATTCTAGTATTTAAAATGGGTATATTTTGAAATGTTCGCGAGTATAATGCTCACAAACGCTGTATCTGACAGGCGCTTGTCAGTGTTCCTCGACATCGAGTAAATAATAACTAATAGTAACTCGAAACATCAGATGCAAGTTTACTGCAAAATCAAAAAATATTCGTTTAAAACTAAATGAATATTGTAAATGTGCGCTTATTTTTTATTAGCTAGACATTCACATAGCTTTGACCATGAATTCGCATTAGGACTATTTCTTTTCTGTAAATTCCAAATACCCATTTGAAAAATTAAATACGCCGACTTCAAAAGCATTCAACAGACAGATTTTTTTATGAAATTTCTATACTGATAGTTTCCTTAAAATATAACTTATTTTCTAAAGAAAAACCATAAATAAATTTATAAAATATGTTGGGACATTAACACAGCACCATCTATTTCCATGCCTAACTACGAAGCTTGTGTTATGTATACCAGACAGTTGATACACTACACATATATAACTTTAAATATGTACATATTATGAATATAAACACCTTGGTACATGGAGTACAAACATTCGTGCTCATCACACAAAGGAATGCCCCCAGCGGGATTCGAACCCGCAACCGCTGGCATAGCAAGTACGGTACACTACAAACTGAGCCAAACGTGTCGTCGAAAAGAAGAAGGTACTGCGTAACTCGCAGAAAAATGGAGAAAAAATAACCTTCTGTTTTTTTTTAATTTGATCACAAATCAATACAACTTTAACTCCAATAAAATTTTGAATTTAACTTTTAAAGGTCTAACGACTCTATCTAGTGCTACTTAACTAATTTTGCAATATGTATATTAATATTCAATAATATTTGTGGATTACACATTATGTTTTGGCCTGCAAATAGCACAGTTAAGGCAATCTACATAATTTATCGAGTAACAAAATCAGTTTAATAGTCTTACCTTTATCAAAAAGGCGAATTGAAAATGAATCCACTTATTTTTAAATGCTTTTTGTAAATGGCTATATTTTAGTTTTTTGACAAAAATCTTATAAAGAAATGTCAATAATCGTTACTTAGTAATATGCTCTACGCCTCGTTTAAATATCACATTTTTTTCACTTCCATACTGAAAATACCTTTTGTTTTCTGTCATGTCATTTTAATTTGAAGTGTTTAAAAATATAAAATCAAGTAACTACTTTCATGAAAACAGTTTTCGCTTTATCAGATTTTGTAATACCATTTAGAGCATTGTTAAAAATCTCATATATTAACTTAGTTAAATTAACTTAACTTAGTTAAATATCGGAGCTACTCTATCTGTTAATCACTTATATTATGTAACTTTGTAAAAGCTATGTGAATAAATTATTATTATTATATAGTTTTTAAAAAAAATATTTTTTTTACATTTTTTATTATTTTTTAACAAAACTATGACTAAATTTTGTAAATATCAACTTAATTTTATTAAATGTATAACTAATGAATAAACAAGATTAGAGTTTGATTAGTTATAGTTAATTTTATAAAAAAAACAAAATGTCACTACTGATTCTCTCGCACTGCTAAGTATGAACAATTCACGCGAGATTTGACCATCTTAATATGAACACTATTTGAGTGATCTAAGTATTTATTATAAAGGGCAAATCGAACAAATCAAATCTTTTACTACATTAGTATATTGTAGAAGCTTACCTTAAAAAATCTCGTGAAGCGTATCATAGGGTTAGTGCCGATGCGAAGCTGCAGAAGATCTAATGGGATCAACGCCGTTATGTCCAGTAAGAAAGAACTCGATCTGATGTAGTGCTTAGCTAGTTTCTTGGAATCGTATACCTAGGGAAGAAAATATACATATGTAATAATTTTACAAAATTTTGGGCTATTTCATTTAAATAAAATTAATTATCAACTATGTAATATTAACGCGATTAAATATAAAAGTGGCATCATTGTGGTAGGGGAGCCCAAGAGGGGATTTTTGTAGTTACTCAAGCGCGGCAGATTAACATTGTCACTCAGTATATATTTTATCATGAATTTGGACTTTAAATATATTTTATTAAAGTATATATTTTACATACAATTTTATTTTAGGTGTCTAACAGTAGCTTAAATATTACTCCAGATTACTGTCTATCTCTGTACTAAATTTGATACAAATCTGTCCGTTTCAGTGTGAAAGTGTAATAAACTTACATATTAATTTTCTTATTTACAATAGTAGTTCATAAGGCGTATTAATTCTTTTTAAATTATCTGAATACTGTACAGTTACTATGTTGTTTTTTGCAGACGTTGTATTATGATAAATTAGCCCCTTAAAATATTTGAGACAAACTATTATTAGGGGTCTTTATTAACGCAATAGAACCCAAAAACAATGATTTTTAGAATTTTTGTCTGTCTGTGCGTTTGTGCGCGCTAAACTCAGAAACGGCTTAACCGATTTGATCACGGTTTTCAAACGTATTGTGGTAATTTTCACTTAACATTTAGTATTTGTTTTTTTTATTGGTTTAAAATGAAAAATAGTTATTTTAATTTCAAGAATCAACCTGTAATAAATAAATCTAAAGTGTTAGGTAATTTTTGGATTTACAATGGTGATGATGGCTATCTAACCTAAAATTAAAGGATTTTTGCTTATTTCCGCTCACATACGAAATCGACAAATATTATTTAATTATTTCCAAAGATTATAAAATAAACTAAATTTACTTTTTTATAATAAAGTCAATATAGCTAGATATAGGATATTTTATTTTCTATTACAATACCAAAGGTATTGTATATCAAAAAATCCGGCCACGGGAAAGTTAAATTTCCAGTTTTCTGATATGTAAAGATTAAACTTTAAATAGAAATTTAATTTACTAACCAAATAGCAAATTCAGTTTTGTTTAAACATTAAAAGCTTGAATAAATGGGAGTATGAGAGAATTGGCTCTAAGTGCAAACACTTGTACTATTTCAGAAGGTTTTATTTAAATTTTCTATTCATGTGTCTTCATGCTTTTACTAAGCCCCTAGGAGTAGTAGGGAGATATAAGAAATGTCTTATAAATAAATTTGAAGAGGCCTTCCATGATTTACAAATGAACTCATATAGTTTTCTATACGACTCAAAGATCTAATAACTCTTAAAGAAGTTTTTTTATGTATATATATATATATATATATATATATATATATATATATATATATATATATATATATCATACTAGCGAGTCACCCTCGCTTCGCTTCGAGTTCGTCTCTGGACAAAAACAAATCTATCCCACGGGAACCGTAAATTTTTCCGGGATGATATATAGCTTATAGCCTTCCTCAATAAAGGGGCTATCTAATTCAAAAAAATATTTTTTTTTCTTCTAGAGATTATTACGTTCAACAAACGTTAACAAACTCTGCCTCTTTATAATATTAGCGTAGATTAAAATTTTCGGGCTAAGTACTTTAAAAAATTGGTCCCTTAGATATGCTAAGAAAACGTCGTACGGGAACTGCCTTATGATGATTTCCTTCAACGTATTAGCAAATAATCATGTTGGAAATGATATAAAATATCAAAGATACAATAGAAGACGCTTAAAATGTCTTACTTTCATTTAAATCCGGTAAATATTTGAAAATACCCAATTACTAAAATGATGAAAACCTAATATATTAATTTTTGTAGCATCTTAAACGTTTACAATTTCGGATATATAGTAATCGTTTTAAATGTATTAATTTATTAATATCAATTCGATAATTCGACATAAATTATCGATTATATTGATTCAAAGTTAACAGGAATTGAAATAAAATCGATAACAACGATTAAGTAAGAACAACATCCAACACTCTAGTACTCGTAGTAGTAACTGAGAACGTTAAGACTCGGTCGTCTCAATAACGATCTCACGTGGGAACGTGCCGCGTGTTAATTGCAGACTTTATGATATAGAATTACAGGTAATATTTTATGCTCTTAATGCACTTGTTTATCTCCTTTTAAATACTAATAAATGTATATTTTTATTTATCTAAATTCTAGACATAATAATAGATACTAAATTAAATGATTTTTTAAAACTTTTTATAATTTAACTAGCAGAACCTGCGGCTTCGCCCGCGTTCAAACTCTTAATAAAATATTTCGCTTTATGTTACAAGTAATAATAATTTGATGATACACCGACTGTAGAGCCACCTACCTGATCCAATTGTATTTTCAAACCATCCAGGAAGCCATCGAAATATACACACAAAATTTCATCCAAATCGGTCAAGCCGTTATGAGGAGTTAGGTGACAAACACACGTACAGAAGAATTATATACATATATTAAGACTAGCGGCTCACCCTCGCTTCGCTCTGGTTCGCCTTTAGGAAAACAAAAACGAACCTATCCCACGGGAACCGTACATTTTTCCGGTATAAATGGTAGCCTATGTCTACTAATAATGAAAATAATAATGTAGCCTAATCTATCTCTGTGCCAAATTTCATCCAGATCTGTTCAGCCGTTCTGGCGTGAAAGAGTAACAAACACGCATACTCGCAAACTTTCACATTTATAATATTAATACGGATTTTATCAAACCTAATTCGAATTATCTATACATATAATAAAATTTTAACTGAGTCTAATCTGTACGTACATTTATTTGAAAAATCTTATTGAAAGTCATTATTATTGATACAGAGGCCGAATCTATAGTTTTAGAATTTTTATCTGTATGTCTGTCTGTCTGGGAACGCATCATGAGAAAACCACTGGACAGATTTTAATGAAAATTTGGTATAATGATAGCTAGTCCCGAAGTTTAAAGTATCCTATACATTAACCCGGATAGGATTAATGTATAGGATACTTTATACTTCGGGAAAATATCTCATCTCTAAGAAATCTACACTAAACGTTAAATAAAATCGCTAGTCTGCTATATTTTTTCAAATCTGCTATATTTTTTTTTCAAATGATTGCATAAATTTGTGGGTCCTTTATGTATACTATATACAAAATGTAATGTCAACCCAAGAAAACGCGATAAAATCATAAAATAGTTGTCGTATGAATATCATGTAATATTAAGATGTTTTATTAAGTTTATTTATTTAATTTTTTTTAATTCGATTCGAGTCCAATCGCGATGCTCTATACAAAAAATTAAAACCTGAAGTTTTATGTTTTTAAAACGTTAGCAGGAGAAGAAGAAGAACAAAAATCCGTAAAATGCCCGCGTTTTCCAGTTACCCCCGAGAAATGGAGGAATTCAAACCGTTAAAAAATAGTTTTTTTTTAATTTCCAGCTTATTGTGACATCCTATCGGAAAATGTTCTTTACAAAAGTTGTAGGTCTAGTAAAAATCTACGGTTTTATAGAGAACACTTTTTCCAATAACCTCAAAGTTTTTGATATATTTACAAAAAAACACCCGTTTTATAATTTAAAATTAAAATTTAACTCTAGATCCGCGCCTGGTTTTATATATACGTATAATGGTTTAAATGTTGTATAACGTGATGCAGGGGAAATCTCGCCCAGATCATAAAAGTCAAGTGACTACTTGTGTGGTGTATATCAGTCAGCTGGCCAGCTTTTCAGCTCTGTATAATTGAGGTCAGCCAAAATTTACATGAAAAATTGAATCGAAAACGAATTATGTTATCATGTTTTAGAATAACATCCTTTATAGTATTTCCAACATTACTATTATGATGGTCAGACATTGTGACTTAGGTATGCATTTGCTAAATAAAATTTTTAGCTTTCATGGTCACTGACAATATTTTTATAATGTAAAACGCGATATTTACCAATTTTTTAAATTATTTTTATATTATAAATTTTCACTTATTCGAAGCACTTACTGATCTGAGTAGTATTATATAGCATGGCATTTGCAACAACGTCAAAGCATCGGCGTACGTGTAAAATAAGTAAAAAGTACGGTGAATATCCCATTTTAGATCATAAAAATATATAATAAAGAGTAAGACACATTTTTTTTCGCACTGTTTCTCAGTATATGCCTCATTACTCTGAAACAAACTCCCTAAATACATCCAAAAAAGCCCCTCTATAACTTCTTTAAAAAAAAATTTAAAACAGTACCTTCTGTCACAAATTTATCCTTAATTTTATCATCTGATTTACTATTTTTATGTATTCCAAATGCATACGTTTATATTTATACTTTAATATGTATATATATGTATGTATATATATGTATGTATATGTGTATATAGTATGTATAATATGTAAGTTATTGTATATTTATCATTATATGTGTTTTTTTAATCTTATTTAATTGTATAATTATTTATAATTTTATCTTAAATCAATTGCACACTTTTAGTCCCGTCATATAACACTATTTCTCACTTCCTTAGGTTGGCTGGAAGAGATCTCTTCTAGAGATAAGTCCACATTTGCCCATATTGTTCTCTGTATTATCTGTGTTACTATGTTAATATGCAATAAAGAATATATATATATATATATATATATATATATATATATATATATATATATATAATATATATATATGCATATATTCGATATTAAATTACAATCACTAAATTAGTTTAGATAGTTCTTGAACGTGCAAGTTGAGAGTTACTTAGCATTGTTTACTTTATCAATGCCACGTCGAATAGTGGAGGCATTTTGGAGATTGAATCTCAACTCAGTCGGGTCTTATCTATAATAAGTTACAGTCAAAATTATATTGCAAGCTTAAAGTAGTTTTGATTGAAAGCTTCTTAGATTTTAATGTCATATTTAGATATATTATATTCAAACAAGAATTAAGTTAATCTAAATATATAATGTAGTCTCTGAGTTAGAAACTTCGAAAATATCTGATCAGGTATCTATTCTAAATGAATGCCCCCGTTTAGTTATTTTTTACATTTTAGTGCCTGGAAGTCGGTTTTTTTTGAAGTTTTTATTTTTCCATTTTTAGTGCAGACGTAAAGATAGTTAGATTTAAAAGTTTTTTAATAATATATTCGATTAAGCAATTTATTTAAAAAAATAATGCATTTGTTAATTTTTTTTAAAAACCGCTCGCCAGCCGAATAAAATTTAATGGGACTACCTTGGAAGTATACCCTTCGAAATAAAAAAAAAATCCAAATCGGTTCAGGCATCTTCGAATAATCGGTGAACATACATAAAAAAGAACAAAGATTCCAACGAATTGAGAACCACCTCCTTTTTGGAAGTCGGTTAAAAAGCCGATTTTGTCAACTAGCGGTGCGTACGTAATGTAAACTGTCGGTGAGCTATTACGCACACATCGCCCCGGCATGTGATACTGTACCTATTGCTGCGCGGTTGTGTGAAATATTTTCTCTGTAGAGATATTTAATAATGTGTCATAGTTATACTTAATACTAGTATACATACCATCAGTCCTTGTTCCAGATATCCAGTTCTGAACTGAACAACGACGTCTAGTGCAAACACCATGTCGCTAATACCATCGCATGCCACCCAGAAGTAATGGCACATTATCTGTTAACAAACAAATAAATTTTTAACTTAATAACTTTATTTACACTCTCCTCCACTCGCATATTGTCCTCTCGTATTTATGTATAACTTTTTCGATTGTAAAAGTCATAGCATGATGTTAAATAAAATAATAATGTCCTCCTGACCGATGCGCAAGAGATATTATAGTGCACAAGTGTACGCGCAGATACAAGTGCACTCTCTATTCCTGTCACTCTCATACTCCGGTGGGATGACTACACGACACGATCGATGAGAGTTAAGGCGCAGGACCGACGCGACACGTGCTTTCCGAGACAGAAGTTCAACCCAACTTCCCAACTCCAGGCTGTTGAGATGAGATATTTTCCCGCAGTAAAATGTATCCTATATGTTGACTCTGATAACCAGCTATTATGATACCAAATTTCATCAAATCTGTCGAGTGGTTTTCTAGTGATCGTTCCTAGACAGACAGACATACAGACAAAAATTCTAAAAACTATAGATTCGGCCTCTGTTTCGATAATGATGATGTTCTCCTAGCCGATTCCGGCTACGGCGGCCAATCTCATTGAGACTAGCTAACTGCGCAGGAGATATTATAGTGCACAAGTGTACGCGCAGACTAGCACGAAGTGTACTCCGGTGAGACGACTGCTCGACACGACCTGCAGTGAGAGTTAAGGCGCAGGATCGACGGCTTTACGTGCTCTCCGAGGCACGGGGGTTAAACACCGCCAACTTCCCAACTCCGGGCGGTTACTGAGACTTACTATACAGAAAGACTTAACAACTAAACTTGGCCCGACCCGGGATTCGAACCCAGGACCTCCGAGTGTGCAGCCGTACATGCTAATCACTACACCACCGTACAGTTTTACGTTATTTGTTTCGATAACAATGACCTTTTCAATAAGATTTTCAAAAAAAAAAATTACAGATTCAACTCAGAATTTAATTATAATTGTATAGAAGATTTATAAAGAAAATGTTTTTATTGGCTAAAGATGTAAATTTAATTAATTTCATACTAAATACACAAGTAGCTCTACATGTTAATTTATGCTTCGGACGTAACCTCCATAACGTGTACTTTTATTTTTCTACTACTCTTTGTGAGGATCAAAGGTAGTCTATGTCAATGGACACATCTCATCTACGCCCGGGATGCAATTTATGTTCTTGCCAAATTTTATGAAAATCAATTCAGCGGTTTAAGCAGTTTAAGAATTTACAGCGGGACTTCCTAAAGCACAGTCAGTCTCAGTGGATGCACAAACTGACTGCAGCTCGCGCTAATGATAGTAGATATCAACTTAAATAAATATTGCTAGCTAGAATCCTCTCTGCTTTATATATACATACACTTTGCTCTCGTATGAACTATGATTGGGAGATTCAGTTTCTCATATTTTTCCGAAATATTTATTTTTGCAACATTATTAAATAAATTGTGGTGACTATAAAAATACGTTGTTACTTAAAAGCCTTTATTTATAAGTTTGTTTTTCCTAATATTTTCTGTGGCTAAAGTTGTTAATTCAATTCATTTAATATTAAACACATAAGTGGTGCTACATCCATACTAATATTATAAATGTGAAAGTGTTTTTGTTTATTTGTTTGTTTGTTTGTTTGTCTTTCTTTTACTTCGAAACGAAGTGACGGATTGGCATGATTTTTTTTCTGGAGATATTTGGAGGGCTGGAAAGTGACATAGGCTACTTTTTACCGCGGGAGATTTTGTAATTCCCACGGGAAAACACATTATAATACAATCCAATATAATATTTATGATCAGAATGATTTGAAACTTGGTATTGATGCTCTTCAATAAAATTAAATAAGGGAGTAAAATTGGGGATGAAAAGTATGAAACTACTTTTTTAGAGATACTACATATTTTAGAGCGAGCGAAGCCGCGGGTTCTGCTAGTATCCTATTTTTATAATAACTCTCATGTTTTGATGTCGAATAAAAAAATTGCACAAATGAAATCGATGAGGACTTTTGACAAGTCATTCAAAATGATGAAATACTCGTAAATGACTCTCACAATTTTCAGCTCTACGTGAATTCTTTCGTAGTTCAAAAGATTTTTTGTCTAAATTTGACTGTACGTTTAAAATATCTAATAATAAATTATAAGAACAGGTTGTTATCTGTTATAAGAATTTATTACTTCAGTAATTAGTAGGGACTCGCCGTTTATTGCGAACATTCCCTATTAAGACTTAACGATGTAAGCTTCTGTAGGTTGTAAAAATGAAAATACGGTTTTATTATTTTACTACTGACTTACCCTCGGTACGTTTTAGTTTGTATCAGCGGAACACTAAATCTTTTTTGAATAATATTAGTCTAAGTTATTCCTTATAACATCAGCTATCTGCCAGTGAAAGACCCGTCAAAATTAGTTCAGCCATTTTGGAGATTAGCCTGAACGAACAGACAGACAGACGAAAATTTTTAAAATAGTATTTTTCTAACAACACACAATAAGTTTCGAATATAATCATAATATGCATTTAGTAAAAAGCTGTTATTTTGATATTATAAACAAACAATTCAATTTTATTCATCTATATAGACTATGCGTACTGCGTTATTTATAGCGCAAAAGCCTTAGCAATTTTTTACAGAATATGATAATTGCTAAGGTATTCAATTGATGATCTTTTCTAGACTTGGCTGCTCTCGATCGAAACTCGAAGAAGAGATTTTTTATATACAATATTAGCAAAGTTTTATAAAATTTTAAAATCTATTATACAACAAAAAAGTATATACATTCTACATCTGTAAATGCATAAATGGAGAATATACGGACACATTAAAATAGGGCTTTTCTTGTAAATTTGAAAATAGTTTAAAATTAAAGAAAAGGCTTAGGTGAGATGTTATTCAACAATTATAGAAGAAGAAAAATAAAAAATCCATAGAAAAGATAAAAGTCGTTAAGTCATAGAATCATAAAACGTCATTCCCGTACTATTTTTAAGCCCTATAGTTTGACGTAATATAAGTTTGACCTTCGTTATAAGTTTGACGTTGTGTGTGTCTATCTGTGGCATCGTAGCTACCGAACGGATGAACCGATTTTAATTTTTTTTTGTTTGAAAGGTGAATAGGTCGAGAGTGTTCTTAGCAGGGCTGCCAGATCGTATAATTGGATACGAAAATTGTAAAATATGCTTATTTTATGTATATTTCATTTTACGTTATTTCGTAATTTTATTGAAATTTTTTATTCGCCACAGCCTATTTCTCAACAGTTTTGTTAGTTTGTATAATAAAATTTGATTTGGTATAATTTCAGTGACCCGGTGATATAAAATAAGTTGGCTCTACTGGCAGCAGTTGTCTCTACTGGCAGCCCTGGTTCTTAGCTATGTTTGATGAAAATCGGTCCACGATGGTCGAAGGTTTTAAAATAGCTTATTCTTTTTTTTAGATTCTTTAACGAATGCAGAATGACATTTTATCTAAGTCCGTTAACTAGTCATCGTTAAAATCAATAAAACTTGCAAGATTTCCAAAGATTTTCTATATAAAACGAGGCATGTGTAGTGGCTGGACTAAATAAAAAATAATTGTTCTAAAAATTCGGTCTTCACCTACAAAGTTGTAATAATATGGCACTTTAAAGCACATCTCATGAAAATGAAACTGAAAAATTCTAAACGGCTAGTAAACCTCTCGAATAAGAACTCATTTGGCTCGCTTTGATGTGCAATTTGCTAAATGGAACTCTTTTTAATAGATTTGAAACTGTTAAATTGTGTCAAACAACTGATAAAAACCGAAAATTTAAAGCAGAATAAAGATTGTAGTTGAAAAGTAATGTTCTATCTAATACTTTCCATAACAATTATGAATACTTTTTTAAAAGCACACTTAATATTTGTCTGTTCGTTCAAAATTGTGTTTTTCTTTTATTTATTTTTTACTATACGTAGGTACATAGTCCTTTTGTTAAACAAGCCTATTTATGTAAGATGTCGCAAAATTAATATTTTTAGCATTTATCAATGTTAAAAGCTATGACAGACGGAAGCATAATACATAGGTATATTTTATGTTCTCTGAAAGCTATGAAGAAGCCATACAAATAATAGCTACTAGAAATTAGAATACACGTGTTTGGGGAAAAAGACCGTGATTTTCAGTTTCCGGTTCTACTTTATTTTTTAGAAGTTTCCGTTACAAAAATGTGTAATTATAGATATTGTGTTAATGTACCACTGGGCATGCGTCTCCCTTAAATACGAGGGGGATCAAGCCATAGTCCACCACGCTGGGCAAGTGCGTGTTGGCGGACTTCACATGTATTTCGAAAACTTGCTAGGTTCAATCAGACATACCGATTTCATCGTGATGCTTTCCTTCACCGCATGGCAATTATCTTGAAAATGATTCGCTCATGAAAATATCAGAGGTGCGAGACCCGAGATTTGAACCCGCTTCACTCGGTTTCCCAAGCGTGCGCCTTATCACAAGGCTACCACTACCTATTAATTATTGTTAATATAGATATATCTATTTTAAATCATTTTAAAATTAGCTATTCCATAGTTAAAGCTCTAAATACGGTGTAATTTTTTTATGTTCTTATGTGATATTTTCGCCTTATATGAATTGTACTGATATATTTTTTTGAACTCCTCCTTTATGGATACATTCAAAGCAAACATCAGGTTTATCTTTTGACATTTCACTTAAAAAATAACAACTTTCAATAATTATTTTATACAATATTTTGAAACATTATAAGCTTATATAATGTAGAAAATATTCTAAATGTAGCTTTGGTGTTGACAATTTCATTATATTCATAATGTTGGATACTACTCGATAAATGCAAATTATAATCTAAACCCATGTTAAAATTTTGACATCAAGATCCGATCCGACCCACTTATCATATGCTTTTGTTGATTATGCCTTTATTGATCTTTATAGTAGAAAGCTGTGGCTTTATAATATATTTGACACCAAAAATATCGCTTAAAATTTACATTATGGTAGTAAAAGGTCGTATTACCCAAATAATTCATTTTTTGGGTACCAATGAGTAGGGACCACGTATGAAAAACTTACATCCTCTGGCTGTTTTTACTATCTTTAAATTATTGTATCTTTTAAATCGTCGTAAGGAATCTATAAATATCTATAAACTATGTAGATATAAAAAAACGAAAATTCCAAATTCAAAATTGCTATAGTATTGAGTTACTATGTTTTTCCTTGTATACTACGATTCTCTGACTATCTTCTATGGCTTGAAGGTTTTAAAATCTATATAGGTTCCATGATGGTTTCAGAAATGGTTTTTTTCTAAATTTGTGGCACGCTAGAAATGAGTATCCCATCAAAAACATACTGTAAAAATATTGCAAGTCTCGCAACGCATCTCTCTACCGCAAAAAGCTATGAGATATAATGTAAAACCAAGTCGGTTAATTTATTCATTACCTATCTATGGAAGCATCTATCCGACAACTTTGTCATAAATCGTTACCGAATTAGTTAAGTTACAACATTTTATAGTGACCGTATTAATATTAGATATATTTATTTCTTTAATTAATAGAGTGACTTGCACGGAAACATAATCACATAAGAGTCGACTACTTTAAATAGTCCTAATTAAAAATAACATGACCAAGGTGGACGGACGACTTGGTCAAAGTCACTGGAGCCCACTGGATGCGGATGGCACAAGACTGGTTGTCGTGAAAATTTTTGGGGGAGGCCTATGTCCAGCTGTGGACGTGTTTGGGCTGAAATGAACGGAACATAGTACTAGCGGGTCAAATTGATGCATACACTAACAATACATAAATAATGCACTCAGAACGTTAATATTAGGTAAATTTTGTTATTTGTAGGTTCTGTTATCATGTGCGATGGCCAAGTCATTCTATTAATTATGGTTTAAGACATTTATTTCTCAAAAGAATTAAAAAATTCACTTACAGAGAAATTACACACTTATATGACAAACATCGTGTTGTCAGACAAATCACTTCATAACTTATTCACTATTGAGTTATTATACAGAAACAAAATACACATTATACAGAAACTTATAGCATAAGAAACATATTTTGCTTTAATTTTACGAGTATAGACTTAAACACATCATACCAATATATTAAAAATTAAAAATTAAGAGGGTACTATTAAGTGTTTCGACAATAAGTAAGATAAGGCTAGTTCCACAGTACACATGGAGGAAATGATTATATTAATTTAAAATTTCAACAAAAAAAATTATGTTTTAGTTTTTTTTTTTGTAGTTTTTAGTTTTGTTTTTAGATTGCATATAGTTATTTTCGTTATACCTATTATTATAATATTGGATTTATTTCTTTATTATCTCAGAATTTGTTATATGTACTTTGTTTCGTTGAATAGCTTGATTTTATTTAGGTTTTTTGATATTAAGATATTACTTTTTAATTATAATTTATTTATTAAAGTGTTGTTATTTATTTTTATTTATTTCAGTTAAAATGTGATTTTTTAAACATTTTTTAAAAATTGTAAAAGTTTTTGATATCTTGATACATTCAGGCAATTCATTGTATAATTTGGCACCTTCATACACTATATTTTTTTTACCATAAGTAGTTCTAGGCGTTCTTAAGAATATATTGTTTGCTTGTCTCGTTACTCGTTTTTGAAACTTATTGTTTTTTGTAAGTGTAATTTGTGAATTAACGTCTCTTGCTAAGATTTTCCAAATGAGTACACAGGTGTTAAATTTATAGAGCTGAGTGACATTCATAATATTGGTTTCATTGTAAATCTTTTTGGTCGATGTTAGATAATTATAGTGGAATAGTGTTTTGATAAGCTTGTTTTGAGCTATTTGTAATCGATGTAAATTTGTTTTAGCCGCTGTCCCCCAAACTTCTATGAGATAGTTTAGATGTGATTTAACCAAAGAATTGTAGATTATATAACGTACATTTTTTGGAATGCACTTAACTATACCACGGAGCATGCCCGATAGGGATCTAATCTTCTTACATATCTTGTCTATGTGTGGTTTCCACGTAAGGTGGTTATCAAGTATTAGTCCGAGGTACTTTTCGGTTTTTGCTCTATTGATAATTTCACCATTAATCGACAAAGGTTTATAATTACCAATTTTTTTGTTTTTTGCAGTGAATATGATATATTTTGTTTTAGATGTATTTATAGTGAGTAAATTACTTTGTAGCCAAATATGTAAGATATCTAAATCGCGTTGCGCTTGTTCTATTATTGAAGATATTGAATGACCGGAGTAAAATAAACTAGTGTCGTCTGCATATAGGGTAATATCACCCGTAAGGCCAATTTCATGTATATTATTGATATATATTAAGAATAATAGTGGCCCTAGGATTGAACCTTGAGGAACTCCATGCGATAATATTTTAGGAGAACTTTCAATTCCGTTAATTTTAACAATTTGGTACCTATTATGAAGATATGATTGAAACATTTTATAGGCAATGCCTGTTAAACCAAGATTTTCTAATTTTTTAAGTAATATTTCATGGCTTACTGTATCAAACGCTTTTTTTAAATCTATAAATATGCCTAGTGTTATCTTTTTTTTATCAATATTGAGTTTTATATTAGTTACTAAGTCAATTGTTGCAGTAAGAGTATTAGATTTGGATCGAAAACCGTATTGCTTGTCAAATAGAAAGTTAGTCATTTCCAGATACTCACTAAGACGTGTATGTATTATTTTTTCAAATATTTTTGAAAAAATCGGCAGAACAGATATTGGTCTGTAATTTCCCGGGTCCGTTTTATCACCTGCTTTATAAATAGGACAAACTTTGGCTACTTTCAATGAATTTGGAAATTGTCCTTCTTCTAAACAAGTATTAATACATTGAACTAAATTTGTAATAATTAAATCCTTAATGCATTTAATTGATTTTGTATTTATACCATCTATACCAGTGCTTGTATTTGGATCTAAACCATTTATTATTTTATTTACTTCGTTAATATCCGTAAGTCTAAATTTAGATAATTTATTATATTTCGGTTCTTTTTCTGACATTGTAAATACTAGATTATTGCGGTAATTGTATGGAATATTGTTGGCCAGTATAGCACCTACACTTGAAAAGAAACTATTAAATTGTTCACATATTTCTTTAGTATTTGTTATCGTTCCTGATGGAGTGTTTAATTTTAGAGGTATATAATTTTGTTTTATTTTATTTGTAGCTAGATTATTTATTAACTGCCACATTTTCAAAGGTTTTTTTGTACAATTATTAAAAGCTTTTAGATAGTATTGATTCTTACACAACTGTATTTCGTTAAAGGCTATGTTTTTCTGCTTCAAAAAGTTTTCTTTCAGGTCTTCATCAGTGGGCGCTTGCTTCAAAGTACGCCAGAGTATGTTTTTGTTTTCTATCAATGTAATCAGATTTTTATTTACCCAGTCGCTTCTCGGAGGATTTTGTTGTTTATACCTCTTTATTTTATTGTTTCTGATAGCTTGTAGAACAAAAGTCTCAAGCAATGTATATTCATTGTAACTATTAGTGGAAATGGTATTCTTAACAGTATTATATAATTTCTTGTAGTCGATGGCCTCATACTGTACTTTTTTTGGTCGTTCAGGTTTGATCTTCTGTATTTCGACGTAAATTTGCTTATGATCTGATAGAGCGCTATCAACGATTGCCATGTGAAAGGTGTTTTCTTGAAGATTTGTACAAACATGATCGAGTATGGTTGCAGAAGTATTTGTTTCTCGTGTACTGTACTCCTTACTAATTCTATTTAATATTTTTAATCCATTTTCCTTAAGCATCATTTTGTAATTAATTGCCGATATTTCTTTACTAAGTAAATTAATGTTAAAATCTCCAAATATGATAGCCCTTTTTTTTTTAGTTAAAAAGTTCTCGTAAGTTTCAAGAAAATCGTTTACATTTGATGCTGGCTGCTTGTATATTACTCCAATTTCCAGGGATAATTTTTGTAGATGTATCCAGAGAAAGTGGTTATTATTAACAATGCAATTGTCTGAGAGATCGTGTTTCAAATTATTGTGTACATATATTGATACTCCACCACCTCTAGACGTTGTCCTGTAATTATAATAGTGTGTGTAGTTTGGTAACCTTAGACTTTGAGCTTCGCATTCATCTTTAATCCATGTTTCAGTCAATATTATGATGTGTATAATTCTTTGAAATGCTTCTATTATACATCTTATTTCATCTAGTTTACCTTTTTTAACAATGCTACGTACATTAGCATACAAAAAATTCATAGATTTGGTGGTTACTGTAATATTTGTATATGTATTAGTTATTTCATATGTTATAGTCTCTTTGTCGCATATTGTATTTTCTGTATTATTTAGTTTTTTGAATTTTGTTTAATAATTTTAGGGATCCCTTTTACATATTTTATCATAAGATCTTTTTCTCCTTCAGCTGAGCGTTTTATGAGCTCATTTTTTAAATTTATCATGATCTTTTGCTGAAATGGAGTCTGGTCAGAATAAATTCGGATACTATCTTCTTTAAGTTTATGTTTATTTCGAAGTATATTTTTCACTATTTCCGGACTAGAATAGCAAATTTTAAGTGAACGCCTTTTGTTTATGTCGTATTTACCAAGTCGCATTACTCTCTCTGGTTTTGGACAATCTGGAAAAATAGATTTTACAATTTTATCGACTTCGTATCTATCCTTTTCTCTTTTCTCTTCCATGTTATCAAAGTGCATTTCCGGAATTCCCACTATTATTATGTTTTTACTTCTCTCTGTGCGTTCGTTGATTTCAATGATCATTTCATCACATGTGGTAGGTAAGGCATTATCCAATGTTGATACTGAGGTTTTAGATTTAAGTTGTTGCACTTCTCCTTGAAGAGATGTTATAATTTCATCGTTTTTTTCCACAATATTGGTAAGTGTCTGGATTTGTGATTTAAGATTATGGTTCTCTTTCACTAAATGTTCGGTTGTTATTTTTATATCTTTCAGTTGTTCTTTGATTGATGAGATGTGCTCGCTTATTGTGTTTATATTTTCAGTTTGCATTCTACTAGATTCCTTAAGTATATCTAGAATTTCATATTTAAAGTCGTTGAGTTGGCAAGTAAAGTCACTTTCCGGGGTCTTTCTTTTTCTTAAGGATATGCTTTTTATGTCGCGTTCAGCCGTACCAAGTTTAGATAAATCTGGTTGAGAGCTACTGCTGCCTCCTGTTGATATCATTTTATTTTGAGACACAGTACTCGGGGGCGATCGACGTACACTCATATTATGTTGAAAAAATTAAAAGAACAATCTCTTCGCTTATCACTCTGCTAGTTCAATGTGACCGCACCTTTATATACACTTTGCGGAAACCAGTTTCTGAGCTTCACGATCGTCGAAGTAGAAATTTAATTGGATGCTAAAATTAATTTGAACCGTATGGGTATGAATTTACGTAATATAATCGTACAAATGGCTTATTGTAGTCACTTAAAGACGTCCGTACCCTATGCCCGATCAACACCGTATAATTAAAGAAATAAATATATCTAATATTAATACGGTCACTATAAAATGTTGTAACTTAACTAATTCGGTAACGATTTATGACAAAGTTGTCGGATAGATGCTTCCATAGATAGGTAATGAATAAATTAACCGACTTGGTTTTACATTATATCTCATAGCTTTTTGCGGTAGAGAGATGCGTTGCGAGACTTGCAATATTTTTACAGTATGTTTTTGATGGGATCTCATTTCTTTTTGTAAATATTTCTTCTTTTTCCCTTTTCTTGTACTATTTCTTGTGTGTCAGCTAAGGACTTCTTAAAAGCCCACTCCCTGTCTCTGTGGGCTTTTTTTCAGAGGCTTTGATATAACAAATTTTGACAAGTCTGGATGATAAAAAATCTAAGTCTATTTTATTCAGAAATTGCGGATTCCTGGGCTTCATTACTACTATCTTATGCATTAAGTATAAATATGTATAGTTAATTTAATGAATATTTTAATTTCATTGTTGACCCTAAATACTTACCCCGATACTGATATTGAACTTACGTAAGTTTAATAAAACGTGTAGATTTATGTGTCTATCTGCGGCATCGTAGGTAAATCCCGAAGGCTGTTATACTTAATTATTATTGCTTGTTCAGTCAATTTTGATGCAGTTTAATCGAAAAGTGAGGTTGCCAACTCATTTCAATCACTGATTCCATTGGCCATTTTAAAAGTAATTTTCGAAGAGATTGATATTTAATGACCTCTATATTCCATGTTCTATTAGGTGTGTACAGTTACGAGCAATGAAATGTTAACAAGTTTTCTAATTCAAATCAACATCATACTTTATAAAAGAAAATATACGAGCTTTGTTTCAAAATATGTTGGGACAGTAACACACAGAACCATCTAGTTCCATGGTAAGCTACGAGGCTTGTGTTATGGATACTAGATAGTTGATACACTACACATATATAACTTTAAATACATACATATTATAAATATAAACGCCCATGACTGGAGTACAAACTTTAGTCATCACACAAATGAATGCCCCCAGCGGGACTCGAACCCGCGACCGCCGGCACAGAAAGTAGGGCCGGGCCACTACAAACTGAGCCAAACGTGTCGTCAAAAATTAAGTAATCGTCAAGTTTTGTCGTAATTAGGTATATATTTTAATAAATTCATTATAAATAACAGGTAATCGAATATTAGTTGGTAATAGACTATACACGCTTCACGTTGTATTTATGTACCCATTTGTATATGCATAAAAATGTATACAGCTACATAAAACGCTTGAAATAATATTTTCACATTTGAATTATATTTTTCTAATGTATACAATAGTTGCAATATCAACATTAATAAATAAATAGACGAATCGTGATTAGGTTAGTAATTACGAGGGAACATAGGATCGAACATACAAACATACATACAGGTTAAACACTAACCTAACCTCCTTTTACATTGCAACTATCGTATAACTAATTAATTTACTATTAAATTAATCGTTTATTTATGGTAAAATTTATTAGAACATATGAATGAAGTAAAAAAACTAAAAGTAAGATATCGTTGAAAATAATATTTAATTTTAATAGTAAAAGGAACATTATATAATTAAAATATTTTATGATTTTTCAACGAAATTATATTTGGCATCAACAACACAGAATAAGGAAAGCTATGATTTTTATTTGTCATCCATGGCTATGATGTTTATTTATGTCAAAATATTTAAATTAAGTCTATTTTATTGTTAACTATTATTTTAAAGTATAAAAACAACACCATTAAATAAAAAATACCTACTTAAATTAAATAGTTATTATTAGTGATGGGAAACGGGACCCTGAGAAACAAATACTTGGATGAGGCTTGCAGTGCATAGTAAAAGCTTTCTTGTTCCACTGATATAATTATGCACTTATAAATTCAGTGTTCTTAATTCATTTATTGCTATAGCATCGATTATATTACTTTATAAATAATTAATAAAATAAAACATGATTTATTTGTGTATTCTCTTCTTAACACGACTAAACTAAATATTGAGAAATACATATTTGTATTTGTCAAGTAGAAGTCGAACTCACGCTCCGAGGGCTCTGTACTACCACAACAATATTTATTATGTATATCAATTATGTAATATAATTTTATGTAATAACCTATAGGAGATATTTAAAAATTTAATTTAAAAGAATTTTAGCGTATGAATAGTAATAGTTTTGACTGAACCTCTGAGTAAGGCATTCTAAGCTGTGAATTTCATATCCTCATATAATATTTTTATGCAATAAACCTAATATAGATAGGCATACAAAAGATAGACCACGTATAGATACATAGTAAATGGCTAAATTTGGGTTTAGACAATTTATTTAATAGCTATATTTATCCTAGACAAAATATTCTCGATGACGATACGAATATTTTTTGGAAGTGTTCGTGCTGGTTTGTATTGTACAACGAATTCTCTTACTTCTATGGTTTGGTCGATAAGTATAAGAGATCTGGGTTTGATCCTATATAAACTAGCCATTGATTAGTGAGGTGAATGCTGATGAAACGGCCTCGATTCTATCGTAGAACGATTTGAACGTAGGTAGGTTTGTGTAGCTCCAGGAAGTCAGGGACTCCCGGGAGGCTACACATGACTGCTGTTGCTGGTGCTGGTTTTTGCGCATATATTTTTTTTATATTTGAAATCTATATACACAACTAAGAGCGGCTCTCGCAACGGTATTGCCTCGAGGTGATAGGACACAGCGATTCTTGCTACGAAAATACCCGAGTCCTCGATTAATCATATATTTTTTTATATTTGAGTTTTGTAGCCACTGAAAGCGGCTCTCGCTACGGTATTGCCCTGAGATGCTATGACACAAAGCGATTCTCGATACGAAAATACCCGAGTGTTCGATTAGCTGTACATATATATTTTTTTTATATTTGAGATCTTATATATATGTATTCTTCTTCTTCTCTCTGCCCATTTCCCAAATCACTTGGGGTCGACGCAGTACATCTTCAGTGTACTGCTGATAGGATTTGGCAAAAGTTTTACGACCGGCCGCCTGCCTGACGTCAACCCTCCTTGGGAATGCTATTGTCTTTCTTTGTCTGAATGGTGTTAAATATTATGCACTTTCGATTTTGTTGTGTTTTAAAACTTTTTTTGTACTATTAATTCAATTATTAATGTTATTTTTGGATATATTATAAAATAAATTTCGATTACACAATAAATTTTGTATTGACATTGTCAAATTTTTTCTTCGAATTTTTTTTCTTAAATTAATGCTAAAGATAAATGATATTATATAAATGGGTACAATTTTATACTATATTTTTACTAAATGCTAAATATAAAATAATCTTATATATATGTATTAATTTATATATTAAATATATTTTTCCATAAAACTATTTACAATATTTATAATTACATTTTAGTCGTCACTAATACTTACAGTATATTCACTATTCACCTAGCTATCCATTTGGGTAGTTTAAGTGACGACAATTATATGTGTGAACTGCAAAAGTAACTTTGTAATCCCATATATCGCATATCTATTTGTATAGGATTACAAAGTTACTGATGCAGTTTGTTGTATATCTCGAAAACAGGATTGAAATTGCGTGATGTTTGAATTTTTCCTTGGGTTATAAAGTAAACACTAATTGTGTTCAAAATTTGAAGCTTCTATGTCTGCTAGAAGTACCTTAGAATTTTGATGATCGGTGAGTGAGTGAGTGACGATATTAACGAATTTTGATCTACAACAGTTCATAAACTACTGGTTCAAATTGAATGTAATTTGGAAATGTACCTAGTTTTATTATGTTCTCTTAGTCACTCAAAATTCAAGCTTCTAGCTTTATCCATAACGAAGTTATGGGGGGGTGGAAAATGCTCTGAATCCCTTCGAGAAAAGGATGGTACTGCCGTGCCCTTTTTTGCTCGACTTGTTTGCTCGACTTGGCGGGGGCACTGCCGTGCCCCCCGATAATATTTAGAATATGACACTTTCATAGAACACGTTCATAGAATACTTTTACTCAGGACGTTACGTTGTGGTGCTTATTAAGAAAATAATGCAGTAGATGGCTAGTACCAGTTTTTAAGAAAAATCTTCGAACCCTTATGTCATTTCAATACAAATTATTAAAATTTCTTTTCGTAAGCAGTTGTAGAGCATTGTCAGGTCTAAGCCCGCAGAATGGTCTATTAGCATAATATTATGTTGCTTAATAAACGTGCTGCTTTTGTTTTAAGAAAAGATTGCCCAATATATTATATAGACTTCATTTGTAATATTCTGAATGAACTAATTACACAAATGTTCTTCCCACAGCTAACACGATGTCATTATCGCTTTTACATCCTTGAGGGAATTAATTCGATTTCATTGAGATCTCTTTATTTTTTCAACTCTATTGGGAAATATACATCGAGTGAAAGTCAAAGATAGGCAAAATTATAGATAGCTATATTGGTTTAAGGCCTTTTAAATAAAACTATCTTTTCGGATTATTTCGCGGATTTATTTTGATTTTTGGTTGCCGACGTTTCAAATGCTTTATAGCAATCATGGTCACAGGAGAGACTAAGGTTATAGACGTCTCATAGGCGATATACACTTGTTACATACAGTACCTGCCCACTATTTTACAAAAATGATTACAACAATTCAAAGTACCTTACAATATTTGTTGATTATTATTTCTAAACATTTTAATTTTTTTTATAATTATAATAATTA